ATAGACTGAAGAGTAGCTGAGTCATCCCTTCTCAAGGACTGAACAACTGGGCTCTTGGCCTTTCTTTTGAGAGACAGCAGTTGTTGGGCTAGACAGACCACAGCCTGTAAGCCATTCTAATAAATACCCTCTAGCACATGAAAACACATTCATTCCATCAGTTCTGTTGCTCTGGAGAACCCTGACTAATATAGATCCCCAGTATCCATGAAAGAAGCTGGGTATATTGGCACATGCCTGGAATCCTAGTGCTGGAGGTCCAGACAGGAGAATCCCTGGGTCTTGCTGGTCATCCAGTTTAGCTAAACCAGGGAGTTCCAGGTACACTGAGGGAGCTTATCTCAAAAACTAAAGTGGAGAGTAATTGAGGAAGACACACAATGCCAACCTCTGGCCTCCATGCGTGTGTGCAATTCATATGTGCCCTCAATCATACACATATATGCATGACACACTCAAATATTCAAATATATGCACACACACGAGCATGCGCATGCACACACACATGCACACACACACACACACACACACACACACACACACACACATTTTTTTCCACAACAGAAAGTGTTAGCTAGGTTATAGAGATGGGTTGGTTGTTAAGAGCAATTGCTGCTCTTGCAGAGAAGCAGGGTTTGATTTTCAGTATTGGCAGGGAGCTCACAACCCTCTGTACCTCTAGTTACAGAGCATGTGGCACCCTCTTCTGGACTCAAAGGCATCAGACACAGAGACAGTGCTCATACACACATGCAAGCAAAACACTCACACACATAAAAAATGAATGAATCTTAGGAAAAATAGTGTTAAAGTAATATAAAGGGTTTGAGAAATCTGAATAGGAGACCGGGTCTAGGATCCCCATCTTCTAAAAGGTGGGGCATGTTGGAGATGTGTGGGGGGGTGTCGTGTTTGTTTCTTTTTCTGGGGGGGGGGGGGGGGGGGGGAAGTGACCTGGACTGTGTTGATTATTCCCAGAGAAACATGATGGCCATGGCTGGAAAGGAGAGATCTGCAGCTCTTTGCCGTCTGGTGAGATCCTTCACAGGCCCAAGGAGGTTTACCAGTACCACATTTAGCAGGTAACCAGGCACCTGGAAACAGGAAGGGTTGTGGATGGGTGTGAGACCTAAGGACCCAAGATTAACTGGGTAGGCACTGGCTCTGGTCTTGGGGGAATTTTCCAACACAATTGCTTTTCACTAATCTCAATTCTTCCCTTCCTTTCCCTGTCCTTTCCTGCCCTCCCCTGTACTTCACTTCCCATCCTCGTTCTCCCCTATTGTTCCCTCCTCTCCCTTCCCTCCCTCCCCTTTCCTGTTCTTCCCTTCCTGTCCCCTTTCTTGTGGAATATTGTATGACTTTTCCTGGGAGAGAAAATAACAGATGTCTATTCATCCAAGACAGGACACCGACGACAGACCAAAGATTCAGCCCCAGTGTAGTTTAGTGAACTAGTGACTTTATGGGGATTATGTATTAGAACATGGGTCACTCAAAGGCAGCTGCATCACCAAAGTACACCCTAGATATGGATGACTCAACCTACAGGCAGCTCTGCCAGCTATATACTATCCTCCCCTCAGCAATTGTTAAAACTGCCTTTATAACCTGAGGGAGGGGCTTTATGGATCTTATCTTGCAACTCTGAGCCCTCCCCAACCCCTCCCCACACCGTATGTGTGTGTGTGTGTGTGTGACCAGGTGTGTGTTGAGTCCAGAAGTCAACCTCAGGCGTCATTTCTCAGGAGTCATCTTCCTTGTTTATTCCCTTCCTTTCTTTCCTCCCCTCCCCTCTTCTTTCTTTCTTTAAGGATTCATTCATTTTTATTTTATATGCTTGAGTGTTTTTGCCTGCATGGATCTAAGTGCACCACAAGTACGCAGTGCCCATGGAGGCCGAAGAGGGCATCAGATCCTCTGGAACTAAAGATGACTGTGAGCTGCTGTGTGGGTACTAGGAATCCAAGCTTGGTCCTCTGCAATGGCACCAAGTGCTCTTAATTGCTGAGCTGTCTCTCCAGCTCTCTACCCTGGTTTGTTTGTTTGTTTGTTTGTTTGTTTGTTTGAAGACAGAATTTCTCAGTGGAACCTGTGGCTTGCTGATAAGCCTGGCCTGCAAGCTCCTGTAGTCTGTCTCCACCTCCCCAGCGCTAAGATTATACATGCACACCGCCATGCCTGGCTTTTTATCCACATGCTGGCACTCAAACTCAGGTCTTCAAGCTTGTACAAGCACCTAAAGGACTGAGCTGATTTCCCAGCTCTCTGAGTTTCCTAGTTTCCTTGGCTACTTTCAATACAGAGGAAACAGCTATGTTACAGTGGCGGTGATGGTGGGTGAATCCAGGGCCTCTCAAAGCTAGGCAAATGCTCTACCACCAGGCTATATCTTCAGTTCTCCAATTTCATTTTTATTAAGATAGTGTCTCATCCCACCTCCTAGGCGGGCCCTCAACTTGTGATGCTCCTGACTCACATCTCAAACAGCAAGGATCATAGACTTGTACCACCATGCTCAGCTCCAACACCATTTCCAGAAAAATTCTTAAGCTTTTATGTGTCTTTTATTCTCAAAATTGGCTGTGAATCATGAAACTTCAGTCTCTTTTGCAAACACCAGAGTCTATCATGTGGTTGGCAAACATATTTACTATCTTGCAGGATTCCAGAAAGATTTCTGTATATCATCCAGCCAGTACAGGTGGGTAAAGAGATTTGCATTTTTTATTCTCTTGTAAATCAATCCTTTCTTCATTCTTTCCTCCCTCCCCATCATCCTCTCTATCTTTCTCAGGGTCTCATGTAGCACAGGTTGGCTGCTGTCTTAGTTATTGTTCCATTGCTGTGAAGAGACCATGACCAAGGCAACTCTAAACAAGGAAGTGTCTTAATCAAGGCTATTGTTGCTGTGATGGAACACCATGACCAAAAGTAATCCAGAGAGGAAAGGGTTTATTCAGCTTGAACTTCTATATCACTGTTTATTACTGAAGGAAGTCAGGATTCAAACGAGGCAGGAACCTGGAGGCAGGAGCTGGTGCAGGGGCCATGGAGGAGTGCTGCTTACTGGCTTGCTCCCTATGGCTTGCTCAGTCTGCTTTCTTATAGAACCCAGGTCCACCAGCCCAGGCATGGCACCACCCACCATGAGCTGGGTTCTCTCCCATAAATCACTAATTATGAAAATGCCTTACAGGCTTGCCTATGATCTGATCTTTTGGAGACATTTTCTCAATTGAGATTCTTTCCTCTGATGACTCCAGCTTGTGTTGAGTTTACACAAAACTATCCAATGCAGAAAGTTTAACTGGGGTCTTACAGTTTCAGAGGATTCGTACATGCTCATCATGGTGGCAGGTAGGCAGGCATGGTACTGGAATAGCATCTAAGAGTGTTACTATTGAAGCTTCAAAACCCACCCGCAGTGACACATCTCCTGGAACAAGGCCACACCTCCTAATTCTTCTCTGACAGATCCACCAACTGGAGACCAACATTGAGATGAGCCTATGGGGGCCATTCTCATTCAAACCCCCACAGGATCAAACTCAGTACTGTAGCCTAGAATGACTCTGAGTGACGATTCACTTGTCTCCACCCTCTGAGTACTGGGATTGCAGGTATGTACTATGCACCACACCTGGTTTATGCAGTGCCAGGGACCAAACACAGAGCTTCATGCATGCTAGGCAGGCATTCTACCAATTGAGCTATATCCTAAGCTCCTGTTTTCCTTTTCCTTTAAATTTCAAATGCATTGGTGAACAGATTGCACACAGGATGAAAGTGGTTGTAGAAATTTTAATATTGGATACGACAGCATCCAAGACTGTGTTCTTTTTTTAAAAAATTATTTATTATGTATACAACATTCTGCTTCCATGTATATCTGCACACCAGAAGAGGGCACCAGATCTCATAACGGATGGTTGTGAGCCACCATGTGCTTACTGGGAATTGAACTCAGGACCTCTGGAAGAGCAGCCAGTGCTCTTAACCTCTGAGCCATCTCTCCAGCCCAAGGCTAGTGTTCTTAAGCCTGAAACATAAGGTTATTTTACCCTGATTAAAGCCACACTGCAGCTGTCGATGTAATCACTGTGCATGATTTTTATTTCAGTGTGGCATTTGGGATGTTTGGAAGGCCTGTGAGCCTTTCCAGGGGTAATGCCTTCTTGGAAGGAGTTGCTTAGACTGAGTGGAGGGTAGCCAACAGAATAGAAACTTCTGGAGAAGTGGAAAATACCACAGGATCCAAAAGGGTGTCTCTATGCCTCCTGCTCCAGGTCAATGTTGGCAAGTCCTTCTGCCTACACAATTTCCGACAAGTCCCCTTGGAGTCTAAGAGCCAGCATGGCTACCCTCTGGTGGGCAGTGATGGACATGACGGCACCTGCTCTATGTGGTCACATAGAAGGGACTTTATAGCTTTTCCTGGACTGCTGGACCCTGGTTGGAACATGAATGGCTGATGGGGCAGAGTGTGGAGGACATTTTCTAGTAGACCCTGGGAATCAGCTCAGGTCCACCTGTTCCCTTCCATCTCTTGGGGTCCTTGGACACTGCAATACAGAGCAGAAGGTGGAATTTCCTGGCTTTGCCTGTTTGGGGCTTTGATCACATCCTTTACCCCAGAGTCTCAGTTCCAGTGGGGTGTCATCAGAACAGCTCCTGAGGAGCCTGGGGGTGTATCCTGTGGTTGGTGCTGTGCTAAGCCACTATGCTCTGGTCCTGCATCAACAAAAGATGAGGGCTGCAGATGCTGTGATTCCTGGGTCAGGAAGGAGAAGGGACCAGAGGACCCCAGAGCATGTAGGGTGTAAGGAGGCCAGGGTCTCTGTGCCCAGGAACAGTGGCAGTGTTACGCCTCTCTCAAAGCTTCAGAGCAGGTGTGGAGGGTGAGCCCCGCCCAGGGCGAGCCCAGAAACCACACAAGAGCTAAAGTCACCTTCCTCCTTCCTGGAGTGTCTGGAAACCTCTGGCCCCCAGCAGGTATCATGGAGCTGGCCCTGCCTGCCATCCTATTTATCCTTTTTCCTGGAGCCCTTTTGGGGGGCGAGAACCTCAGATTCTACAGTCTGTCTCCTGTGACAGACAGTAGTAGCACTAACCTGGATTCAGGTAAGATGGGTGTGTGGGGAACAGTAGCTTCAGGAAGACACGTGGAATGTACTTTTGTTGCCAGGTGTTTTTTTTTTTTTTTTTTTTTTGTTTTGTTTTGTTTTGTTTTTGCTTTTGTTTTTTTGAGACAGGGTTTCTCTGTGGCTTTGGAGGCTGTCCTGTAGACCAGGCTGGTCTCGAACTCACAGAGATCCACCTGCCTCTGCCTCCCGAGTGCTGGGATTAAAGGCGTGCACCACCAATGCCTGGCTTGTTTTTGTTTTTATTTTATTTTTTAATTTTATTCTGTTTTAGCTTTGAGACCAGATCTCATTGTAGCCCAGACTGGCCTCCACTTTTTTATGTAGATGAAAGTAACCTTCTGATTTTTATCCTTCTGCTTCAGCATTCAAGTCCTGGGAATATAGGAAGGAGACAGAAGGAGCATAGGTTTAGAGGCAAACTAGAGAGCTGTCTGACCCTGGCTCCTCGCGGTCTTATATGAGGCAGATGCTGTTAGGGGCCAGGCATGGGTGGCATCCTCTGGCCAAGCCCAGGGGCTGTGACAAATAAGCCAGGTTTGAGGTATACAGGAGGGCACAGTAGCCCTGTGTCACTCAATTCTACTGATTCCCTGCAGTGTGTGGACGTCCCAGGGCTTCAGGCCGCATCGTGTCAGGAGAAGATGCCCAGCCAGGCCAATGGCCTTGGCAGGTCAGCGTGAGAGAGAATGGGGAGCACGTGTGTGGGGGCTCCCTGATTGCTGAGGACTGGGTGTTGACTGCTGCCCACTGCTTCAGCCAGTGAGTATCTCCCTAAGGGTCATGTGGGCTGGTGCAGGCTGGGCTTCCCTACGCTCCTTCCAGATGCTCTCATTTCTCCAATTGAACCATAACCTCTGCCTACTATGACAGGAGATAAGGCAGGGCCATGTTTCTTTAGTATGGAAATTACCTGTCTCTAGGCTGGCCCTGGAGGGTCAGTCACCTGGTCTTGGGTGGAGAGGATGGCTCAGAGGGTAGGAGGGCTTGTTATACAAGCACAAGGACCTGAGTTCAAATTGCCTGCTCCAATTCATGTACAAAGCTAGGTGTGACCAGTACTGGGGTTGTATGTGGAGACAGGAGGATCTCAGAGGATTTCTGAGCTCTGGTGTAGCTCTAAGTTCTGTGAGAAACCCCATCTCAAGGTCAAGAGTAGCAGAGATAGAGCAGGGCATCTGTTATCATTCTCTGCTTTCTGTACATGCACAGGAGCATGCACACCCGCCAACACACAGGCACACACACCAACACACAGACACACAACACAGACACACCCACCAACATACAGGCATACCCAGCAACACACAGACACACCCACCAACATACAGACACACAGACACCAACACACAGACACACAACACAGACACACCCACCAACACACAGACACACCCACCAACACACAGACACACCCACCAACACAGACACACACACCAACACACAGACATACCCACCAACACACAGACACACCTGCCAACACACAGCCACACACACAGCAACACACAGACACACACATACAGACACACCTACCAACACACAGACACACCTGCCAACATACAGACATACACACCAACACACAGACACACAACACAGACACACCCACCAACATACAGGCATACCCACCAACACACAGACACACCTGCCAACACACAGCCACACACACAGCAACACACAGACACACACATACAGACACACCCACCAACACACAGACACACAACACAGACACATCCACCAACATACACACAAACATAGAATCAACAGCCCTCAAGAACCCAATGTCTTTGTGTATGTATATGTGCATATGTGAAGTATTTGTTCATGTATGTGTGCAAATGTGGGCACAGACATGCCACAATGAGTGTGTGAAGGTCAAAGGACAACCTCTGGTGTCAGTCCTTGACTTTCATCTTCCTTTTGAGACAGGGTCTCTCTTTTTGCCCACTGCTGTGTACACCTGGTTAGCAAGCTTTTATTAATTCTCCTGTCTTCACCTCCGACCTCTCCACAGGGACAGGCTGGGATTAAGATGTGAATGCTACTGGGCCTGACTTTTATGTGGGTTGTGGGGATCTCAAGTCTTTATGCTTGTACCACAAGTGTTCTTACATAATGACCCATCTCCTCAGAAACTTTTGAATGTACTGCTCAGTAGCCTGGTGGCCTTTTGATGGGTAACTTGACTTTGCTAGTTGTACTCCATACCTGAAAAATGGAGGAAATGACAGCAAACTTATGGGTTATAATGATCATTAATGGTGGTTATTAAAAAGGGGTGCTTAGCTCCCAGAAAAGCCCAGTGGCAATATTGGATAGCAGAGCCTCCCCATAAAGATTCTCTTTCCTTTTCACCCATTGTCCTTCCCATTCTCCCCAGGGACCAGCCCTTGTCTGCCTACAAAGTACTGCTGGGTACCATCTTCTCCTACCCTGAGTCCAGTGAGCCCGGTGAGCTGAGAACTGTGTCCCAGTTTATCAAGCACCCGAGCTATTCAGCAGATGAGCACAGTAGTGGAGACATTGCTCTGGTGCAGCTGGCTTCATCCGTCTCCTTCAGTGACTACATCCTTCCAGTCTGCCTTCCGAAACCTGGAGACCCCCTGGGCCCAGGCACCCAGTGTTGGGTCACTGGCTGGGGAGACATTGCCACCAATCAACGTAAGGATGTTTGGAGCTGGTGTCAGGGCAGGGGGGAGAGTGGAAATGTGTGTTCAGCAAGGACCAGTCTTGACACCTTCCCTAGGGTCAGCCCCCACCCTCAGACAGGACCCGTATGGAGTCTATGCAAAGAATGTCCACCACAGAGGGTGCATTGAAACATTGCCACACTGGCTCATCACCAGCTGACTGCTGCTGGCTCCCAGGTGTCCTCTTGGTGTCTAATAACCAGAAGGATAGTGTTACAGCCAGCAATGGGCTGAGGGATGCCGATCCAGTCTGCGTTACAACCTTCCTGCTGCTTTTGCTGCTAAGGCCCTTGTGGACAGTGCTTGCCAGGGGCTCAGTTTTGACTGGGCAGCCTTCACTATCTGATGGGGTCCTGGTTCTTCCTCTTGTCAGTGAGCTCTCAAGAGTGCTAACCTGGTGGGTTAATGCCAGAGGTCCCCGGCACAATGCTTTCTCAGGCATTCCCGTTTTCCAACTGTCATCAGCATGGCCCCATTCCTGTCATCATATTTATGATCTCACCTTGTTTTAGTGTCCTGAGGCTGATGATAAATCAGATAGGTGTTCACTGTCAGTTCAGGAGCCTGGCCAGAAGCCTGAAACAAAGGTATTATCTGGGCCTCAACCCTTTCAGGGCTCTAGGGAGGCCCCTTTTTGGCTTTCACCTCTGCCAGCACTGGGTGATCCTTGGTTCTTAGCTGCATCACTCCAGTCTTGGCCTTGGGGTTCACATAGACCTCTACTGCGGTGTGTCTCCCTAGGTCCCCTCTCTGTGTCTGTTAAGAGCCTTCCATCTTTATCTACTGTGACACCATCTTAGCCAGTCACATCTCCAAGTCTCCTGCTTGATGATAAAGTTTACATTCTGAAGTTTTGGGTAGACATGAATTTGGGGCCACATTATTTAACCCACTCGGCAACTAAGTCGCCTTCAACTTGGTATTTGGAATGTTGAGAAGAGGACGGTCGCGTGATGGGTGTGACTTGACCACAGGCCAGTGTTCTGAAGTCAGCTATAGGCTCTTGCTTGTTGTCCTGTGGCCTCTCCCCATGTGCATCCCATTCCATTGTCCTGATACTGGGAGAGAAGCTGAGACCCACAGAGCCATCATACATCTGTGTGTGCCCAGCTGGGGGAGGAAGAGCAAAGTTTCCCCCAGTTTGTGACTATGAGGACAAATCTATGTCCTCATTCTGGGATGCCGCCTTTACAAAGCTTTCAGGGTTTCATGGGGGGGGGGGCGGGCAAGGCTCTGCTCAGAGAAGCAGAAGAAATGACCCTGGCCACAGGGTTCAGTTAAACATGCGGAGCTGGGAGGAGATGAAGTGTCCCCTTCCCCTAACTCTGTTCTCTCCCAACTCTAGCTCTCCCACCACCTTTTACCCTGAAGGAGTTGCAGGTGCCTCTTATTGATGCTCGAACCTGCAATGCCTACTACCAGGAGAACTCCGTTTTCAACACAGAGCCCGTCATCTTTGAAGACATGCTGTGTGCTGGCTTCGAGGAAGGCAAGAAGGATGCCTGTAATGTGAGTGAGTCAGACAGTGGTACCTCATTAGTAACCCCAGTGGGTAGGGTGTTCCTCTCGCCATCACACTAAGAACCTTGCAGGAAGGCTGGGCATCTTAAAAACAACAGTACCACCACCATCACCAACATACACACATACAGCACCATCACCAACACACACACATACGCGCGCGCGCGCACACACACACACACACACACACACACACAGAGAGAGAGAGAGAGAGAGAGAGAGAGAGAGAGAGAGCTCAAGAAAAAATTCCAGACACTGTCTCCCTTTCAAATATAATATAATATAATCAGAGGGCTGGGAAGATGGTCCACTGTTGCGTCACAAGCACAAAGAACTGAATTTGAATCTTCAGCACCCATGTATTAAAAAGCCAGGTGTGATAGCACAAGTCTATAATCCTATCACCAGGGGCGGGGATGGGGGTGGGAACCTGCCAGAGACATCCATTGTTGACCTCTGGTCTCTAAGTGCATACATAGGAGGGTACCCCCCGCCCCCACATGCCTCTCTTCTGTCAAATAAAAAAATATGATCAGAGTGCTGGGGGTGTGGGTCAGTGGTACAATGTTTACCAAACTTTGAAAGGCCTTGGGCTACACCCTCAGTAGAGAAGCGGAGAGCGAGAGAGAGAGAGAGAGAGAGAGAGAGAGAGAGAGAGAGAGATTGGATAACACCAAGAGCCTTTGACTGTATTTTCACAAGGAGCAAGCCACATTCAAGTTTGCTTGGTTTTATCCTGTCTTGTTTGCTCTTCTACACACCCTGACTGCCAAATACCTCTTAATTGTTACTTCAAAGAGATGTTCTAGATAAAACCAAACAAACCGAAGCAAGCAGCATTGTGAGAAGCTCTGAAGTGACTCCTTTTGTTAGCCCCCCCGGAGACAGGGTTTCTCTGTGTAGCTTTGGAGCCTATCCTGGCACTCACTCTGGAGACCAGGCCGGCCTCGAACTCACAGAGATCCAACTGCCTCTGCCTCCCGAGTGCTGGGATTAAAGGCGTGCGCCACCAACGCCCGGCATGCCCTGCTCTCAGCTCTTAACACACAGCTGTGGCACAGAGTTCATATTTTATTTAGAGACAGGCGGTGTCCTCTAGGGGTTCCACTCTCCTTCAGTTCTCAGATCACCTATCCCTGAACCTTCTAGAAGCTTCCAATTCATTGATCCTGTCTACTATGATGAAGAGAACCAGGTGGGACTGGGTTGGAAAGCTTTGATTTCCTATCAATATAACAAAGGCAGCAGGCTCAAGCAACACTTTGCATCCCTTCTTTCTCCGCAGGGTGATTCTGGAGGTCCCCTGGTCTGTGACATTAATGGTGTCTGGATCCAGGCAGGGTTGGTGAGTTGGGGATCCGACTGTGCTCTGCCCAAGAGACCAGGTGTGTACACCAATGTCAGCGTCTACATCTCATGGATTGAGAACACATTGTGGAACTCAACCCCAGAAGTAAAGAGTTTCTCTCTGAGCCTTTCAGTGACCTCAGTCTCTGGCCAGTTCCTGTTCCTGGCATCCCTGGCTAGCTCCTTCCTCTTCCTGGGGCCCTAACCTGCAATTTCATTATCTCAGCCCCTATATTTGGAACTTTTGCCCCTCTCTCTGCTCCTAGGCTGGAGCAGCTTCTCTCAGGACCCCCTTCTTGTGCCCTCCTTTGCATAGCTACCTGCAGACAAGCACCCCATCCGTGTTCTGCTCTCCAGGGGCCCTCTCCTCACCCCCACAGAGGCCTCCTAACTCCCACATCATTAAGACCCCTGGGACCATCAGCTAAGCTCTGGTTTTCTGGCCCCCATTGGCCCTGAGCTGCCCTTCACTCACGGCGGGGGGGGGGGTGTCTGTGGATTTTCAGGGGTGGAGGGACAGGAATCCTTCTTGCCTCTCACTCCAGGGTGGAGGCACCTGTAAGGGTATCCTTTGGTGGCTTCTGTGACTGGGCTGGTCTCTCTATAGTGAGGCTATATCTGAAGCAATAAAGACTGGATGCAGCAGGACACATTTTCCCAGTGCATGGTTCCTCCTACACTCTTGAGCGTCAGTTTCCACAGGCACCTAGAAGATGCCCCTACATGTCTACATGTGCAAACATCATCTACAAAGTGTCACCAGACTCTTGGCACTCCTGTGTGCACATTGCTCTCAGTCCCATCACTCAGAAGCAGGACAAATAAGGGCTGGAAACTCAAGCTTGTCCAGTTCCTCCTGGTTCAGCATCCTTCCGTCTAGGAATGGCAGGCAGCACTTCCTGAACAGTTTGAGACCATTGGTAGGACTGGGATGATACCAGGGTCATAAGTTAGACATGGGGTGACTTCCAGGGTCATAGGTAGGTGTCAGGTAAATCCTACAGGTCACTGGTAGGATCGCAGTGAATCTCTGCTTTGCTGGCAGGTGTGAGGCCCAATCCCCAGGCTATGGCAGGGATGGTGGTGGGTCAGGCCTGTGCCTGCCTAGGTTGGGCAGGTGAGAAGCCAGCTCACACCTCTGGGTGCGAATAGTTCTGGTATGGTGACAAGCAGGGGTTGCTTTCCCCTGCTCCTCAAGGGGAACCTGGAAACTGCCTGGGAATTGGATGCCTTAGCTGGAGGACAGAGCTCAGGCAGCAGCCCAGACAATGGTGAAATGTGAGAGGAGTTTCCCAAGGAAAGGAAGGGGCAGGAGGTGGGGACAGGCTCCTCATGTTTGGGTGTGAGCCTCAGCTTGCCCCAGGTACCTCCCTAGCCCAATGGTCATACTGTCCCAGGGCACCATGGCCCTTGGGGTCCCAGGTTTCCTTTGCCTCAGGTCCACATACAGAAGAGCCACCACTAGCCTCATTTTCCTCCACCAATTCCTGTCTCTGGTGCTTTGTTAACATGAACACAGGCTCTTCCCTGCAGCCTCCTCTGGTGTACACATGTCACCATCACTCTTTTTGCCCACTGTGACAGGATTGTCAGCATCCAGAGCTATCTCTGGCTGGCTGGTCAGTTCCAGAGGCATCCACAGGTCCCCTGGGCCTAGTGACAGCCTGCCTATGGTTGGGAACAGGGATTGCAGTGGTGATGGAGATGGGGCAGGGCTGGCTAGTCCTCAGGTGATACATCACGTCTCACACGAGTAGTCAGCCCCACTGAGGTAAATGGCTCATGTCTGTTTCCAGATCAATTACCCATTCAGTCAGCTATCACTATGACCATGGCATGGTTCCCATGTTCCCGAGTCTCCTCCACCTGTCACATCTGAGGCACTCTCCCCAAACTCTGTGCTTACTGGCTGCGGTACACCAGGGAGGAGTGTGGCCCACTCTCTTCTCACATGAAAGACTTTCTCAAGCCCTGCCCAGCTGGGACATGACTACCCACTGTTACTGTCCAGTTTCTCAGGAGCCCTGTAGGATGGCAGCCTAATGAAACAGAGTAGAGGGGTCAAGGGAAGAAAGTGCTAATCCCTGGCCGGGCAGTGGTGGCACATATCCACCACTTTTATCTTTTATCCCAGCACTTGGGAGGCAGAGGCAGCCTGTGAGTTCGAGACTAGCCTGGTCTACGAAGTAAAAAAAGGTAAAAAAAAACCAAAAAAAACCCATATAAAAAAAAAAAAAAAAAAAAAAAAAAAAAAAAAAAGAAAAGAAAAAGAAAGTGCTAATCCCCTCAGAAGGACCTGGGGATAGCCAAGGCTCTTCTGATCTTCGCAGATTCTGTCTCTGGATCCCAAAGAGCTAACACTGTCTGTAGGCAGCTGAAGTAGTTCGGGCAGGGCCACTTTGAGCCCTTAACCAAAGCCCCTTGGCCCTAGGGATAGCCTGTATCTTCCTTTTCCTCTTCCATTTCCCCGGTTCTTTCCTCCACCATTAACCCCACAACGCAGCAGAAGTTCATTCTGCAAGCCATCCCACATGGCACTCACCAGGGAAGACCTTTCTGGCTCTTCAGTTCAGGGCAGTAGGGTAGATGGTTTATAGGGGTCTCTGGGATTCATTTTTGTTAAGATCAGGGTGCAGAGGGCCCTGCTGAGGAGTTGCCACTAGCATAGGGGCCAGAAGGTCAAGAAGGTGCCAGTTCCACAGCTGTCTGGGAGATAGTCTATGGTCCCCTGGTGGCTGGGGCAGATGTAGACCTCACTGTGAAAGGACAGCCTGGGGCCAGAGATGGGAGTCAGCTGGCCTGGGAGAGACTGTCGAGGAAGTGGGTAGGGTGAGTGAGATGTCTCAGTGGGTAAAGGCCATTGTCACTAAGCCTGATGACTTCACTTTGATCCCTGGGACCTACATGGTAAAAGGAACAGACTTTTATAAGTTGTCCTCAGACTTACACACACACACACACACACACACACACTTGGACAGTTTGAAAGGTCAGGTTGGGACCTGTGGTCTGAGCAACCCCTTGGGCTGCAATTGTCACCCATTCTCCCAAGGGGGTAACTGGCACTGTGCCTGAGTGGTGAGCTGTGCTTTGTTGTGGTACCAGGGAGCATACAGAGACTGGCTGAGATGCTAATGCTAGGGTGCTAAGGGACACACAAAGGTTCTTGGGAAAATCTTGTTCTTTTCCTACCCGATGGATCAGGTCCCCTAACCTGCTGCCTTGGGACCCATTCTGCCCTTGAGTGTCTTGGCCAGCTCCTATGCCCACTGGCCTTTTCTTGGCAGGAGGTACTGAACAAAAGCATGTGACTTTAAGGAGATCATGACTGTTGTTGCCACACCAGCATCTCTTGGGGTCACTATTTGGGAATGCTGCCTAAAATGCCTTTTGGTAGGTTCCCTGGATGATTGCTCTTGCTTTGCCATCAGGGTTAAGACTCAGGACTCCCAGGAGTAGACATCCATGACAGTGGAAATGTGTTGACTGGAGGGAGCCCCTGAAAGCGGTGCTGGAGAATTCACCACCCTCCCTTTTCCACTATTTCCTGGAGGAAGTCTGGTTCAAGATACACAGATAGACCCAGTGACCATTAATCTTTTTCTTTCTTTCTTTCTTTCTTTCTTTCTTTCTTTCTTTCTTTCTTTCTTTCTTTTTTTCTTTCTTTCTTCTTTTTCTTTTTCGAGACAGGGTTTCTCTGTGTAGCTTTGGAGGCTGTCCTGGCACTCACTCTGGAGACCAGACTGGCCTCGAACTCATAGAGCTCCACCTGCCTCTGCCTCCCAATTGCTGGGATTAAAGGCGTGTGCCACCAATGCCCGGCGTGTGTTGCACTTATATGCATACAGGCAAAACATTTATACACATAAAATTCAATTTAAAATCTTTTTATTTTTACTCATATTTATATGTATGTGTGGGCTCATAGAAGTCAGAAGGCCCAGAGCTGGTCTTACAGGTAGTAGTGAGCTGCCCAACATGACTGCTGGGAACTGGACTTGGGTCTTCTGGAAGATCAATGTGTTCTATTAACCACTGAGCTATCTGTCAGTGGAGGAGAGGGAAGAAAAGCTGTCACCAGAGCAAGATGAAAAGATGAGCATTACACATTTTCATTAATGTTGAATCTTCATTTGAATACACTACTCTGTTTTAAATTAAAAAATGTGTGTGTAGTGGTTCAGTGGTTAAGAGCACTGGCTGCTGTTCCAGAGGATCAGAGTTTAATTCCCAGCATCCACATGGCAGCTTACAACTGTCTGTAACTCCAGTTCCAGGGGATCTGACACGTTCACACCAATGCACATAAAATTAAATAAATTATTAAAAATAAGTAAACAGGGGGAGGGTCTAGGCCCTGCTCCAAATGATACGACAGACTTTAAAGATCCCCGTGGAAGGCCTCGCCCTCCCTGGGGAGAGCAGAAAGGGGTTGGATAGGGGGTGGGAAAAGCAGGGGAGGAGGGGAGGGAGAGGGAACTGGGATTGGCATGTAAAAGAAGCTTGTTTCTAATTTAAAATTGGTCTAATTACAATTATAAAAATAAATAAATAAATATTTAACAAAAAATGTGTGTGTGAGTCTTTTGCCTCAGCAAGGCATGATAGTGCATGTCTTTAATCCCAGTATTCGGGAGGCAGAGGCAGGCAGATCTCTATGAGTTCAAGGCCAGCTTGGTCTACAGAGCCAGTTCCAGGACAACCAGAGCTACATGGAGAAACCCGGTCTCAAAAACAAAACAAAAAGTCTTTGCATGCATGTATGTATATATGTATTATGTATGTGTACCACATGGATCAGAGATCAGATCTCCTGGAACTGGACTTTGCCAAATTGGGGTCCTTGGCAAGATCAGCAAATCACCTGCCAAGCTTTCTGTGTCCCTCCACTTTTTTTGAGGAATGTTTTTTGGAAGGAGAGCAGTGGGAAGGGCCCAGAGAGAAGAATGAGGGTGAATATGAACCAAGAATAATGACACAGGATGAAATGTCGACACACTTTGCTTTGTATATTAGTGAAGACATTAACTGGAAATGAAGAAGAAAAAAATTAATCCAGAACTTGAGCCTGGGCACAGCAGCAAGACACTGGATCAACAGAGGCATCTGCCAATAGACAATGGATAAAAAAAATGTGGTGCAGATTCATCCTATTTAGCCAGAAATAGAACAAGACCCTGTTGCTTGCAACAACAGAGATAAGGCAGGATACTGTGTAAGTTCATTAAATCAGAAACAGTATAAATACCAAGAGCTCTGCCAGGCAGTGGTGGCACACACCTTTAATCCCAGCACTCGGGAGGCAGAGGCAGGCGGATCTCTGTGAGTTTGAGGTCAGCCTGGTCTACAGAGCGAGTTCCAGGACAGCCAGGACTACACAGAGAAACCCTGTCTCAAAAAACCAAAAACCAGCCAAACAAACAAACAAAAAACCCCAAGAGCTGGGCATGTCGCTCACTGGTAAATGCCTTCCCTAGCATGTGCAAGGCGCTGAGGTCCATCCTATCCAAATAAAACAAACCCACCTCTTAAAACCTAAACAAAAATGAAACACTATAAAAAGTTGATCTCAAAGTACAGAACAAAATAATGGTATCCAGAGTCTTGGAGGTGTGGGAGAGGAGGGTGGTGGAGAGAAGGGTGAGTGACAGGGGTCTGGGGTAGAAGAGTAATTTCTAAAGTGCCATAGCAAGGTGAGGGAACTATGGGTGACAGCAATTTATTGACTATTTTAGAATAGTGGAGAACATTTTCAATATTTCCAACACAAAGAAATGATGAATTTTGATGGTGTGGAGTTGCTATTGATCCTAATCTGATGTTGCACATTTTGTATGTGTATTGAAATACCATACAAGCCAGGCATAGTGCTACACACCTTTAATCCCACAATCAGGAGGCAAGGCAGGCAGATCTCTGTGAGTTCCAGACCAGCCTGGTTTACATAGCAGGTTCCAGAACATAGAAAGACCCTTTCTCAAAACACACACACACACACAAACAAAAACAAAATAAAAAATGAGTGAGAGAGAAATACAACACTGCACTCCATAAATATGTACAATTATGCAAGTTAAAATTAGGGGATTGAGGCCTGGAGAGATGGCTCAGCAGTTAAGAGCCTTTGTCGCTCTGGCAGAAGACCTGGATTTGGCTCCCAGCACCCACATGCTAGTTCACAACCATTTGTAACTCCAGTTCCAGGGGATCCAATGCTCTCTTCTGACTTCCACAGGCACCAGACATGCACATGGTACACATACATACACGAAGGCAAAACATTCATACACATAAAATAAATTTTAAAAGAAGGTGGTGATGGTGTTGAAGAGATGACTAAATGGTTAGGAGCACTTGCTTGCTCTTCTAGAGGACCCAAATTCTGTTTCCAGCACTCATATCTGGCTCACAACGCCTGTAACTCCAGCTCCAGGGGATCTGACATGCTATTCTTGCCTTTCTGATACTACACATGAGTGGAACACACAGAGAGACACTCACAAATATTTTTTTAAAGATTTATTTTTATGTGCATTGGTGTTTTTGCCTGCATGTATATCTGTGCAAAGATACCAGATTTCCTAGAACTGGAGTTACAGACAGCTGTGAGCTGCCATGTGGGTGCTAGGAATTGAACCTGGTTCCTCAGGAAGAGCAGCCAGTGCTTTTAACCAGTAAGCATTCTTTCCAGCCCCACAAATATTTTTTTTTTTTTTTTTCGAGTGAGGGTTTCTTTGTGTAGCCCTGGCTGTAGACCAGGCTGGCCTTGAACTCATAGAAGATCAGCCTGCTTCTGCAACCCAAGTGCTGGCCTAGCCAAACGTGTTTTTTCTTTTTTTGAGAGAAGAAAAAATAAGACAGACATGCTGGTGCATGCCTTTAATTCCAGCACTCAAGAGGCAGAGGCAGGAAGATCTCTGTGAGTTCAAGTTCAGCCTTGTCTGCAGAGCCATATAGTGAGACAACAAAACAAAAACCACAAAACCAAAAAGATTTAAAAAGAGTGAGAAATTAAATATTTAATTAAAATCTTTCTCTCTCCCTTTTTTGGGGGAGAGGGGCGGCTCACACAGGGTTTCTCTGTGTAACAGTCCTAACTGTCCTGGAACTCGCTTTGTATACCAGGCTGGCCTCAAACTCACTGAGAATCTGCCAACCTCTGCCTCCTGAGTGCTGGGCATAAAAGCATGTGCCACCACCGCCCCGCTAAATTATCTCTTTCTATATTTTAAAATCTTTTGATAGTCTTTGTCTTTGTGCGTGCGTGCGTGCGTGCGTGCGTGCGTGCGTGTGTGTGTGTGTTTGTGTGTATAAGAAATTCTAGGAGGCTCTGGGGAAGCTACGGCCAAAGAATCATAAATTTGAGTCCATTGTGAGATACAAAATGAATTACTGTCTCAAAAAGAAAAACAAGCAACGACAAAACCAAAGAAAACAGAGAAGGAAAAAAAAAGTAAATACATTATAAAAGGTTCTACAAGGAGGAAGGCTAGGGTTATTAAAGACGAACTTGCCTCCAGGGGGCAGCCTAAGCCGGCGGGGCCCAGCTCATTGCCTAAGGGAGAAAGCCCAGGCCCTTTCACCAAGTCCTGTGATGGACCAATTCTTGGCTGACCCCGCGAGGGATAGGCTTCAGAAGTGCTCATCTAGCTTCCTGGGGGCCCCTGGCTAAGGGTCAGCAGCTTGGTCCTGGAGGAAGTCGTGGGCAGAGGACAGAGGGCAACGCCGGCACCCCTGAGCTCAGATGACTGAAGCACCGCTCCGGTTCACTGGTTGCTGTGCCATTTCAACAGCTTTAATGAAGGCCCTGGAAACAGTGCTAGGGCATCAGGGTCCTCAAACACCCTTTGGGTCTAAGGAGTTGCGTCTCCCCCAGTGGGCGCGGGCCTGGCACCGCAGGAAGTAGGAGGGGGTGCCAGGTGGCAGGAGAAGAGACCATGGGCGCGTGGGGAAAGACGTTGGTGCCACTGCTGGTGGTGGCGGCGGTGGTGGTCCCACAGCCTGCCTTGCAGGTGTTATCAGAGAATTCCGGTGAGCTGCTCTGAGGGTACTGTTGTGGGACTGGGGCCAGTGACAGGTAGATGGGGAGGGGAAGGTGAAATGTCACTCATTCTCTCATTTCCACCCAGAAATTCAAGAAGTGGACCTACTGTCAGGTAAGATGCTCAGAACATGCTTCCTGCGTGGTGGCCCTCAATTACTCCTCCCTTTCGCCCCTTGAGTTCCCTTTTGAGAACTCAACTGTGCTTGATAGTAATGGTACCCCCGCCCCCGTGGGGTGGGGTGGGGTGGGGACAGGTGCACAGGATCACGTGGGGAATGTCCCAGTAAATCCTTAGGAAGTCCTTCCCTCTCCATGCCCTAGGGACGTGGGGAATGTCCCAGTAAATCCTTAGGAAGTCCTTCCCTCTCCATGCCTTAGGGCTACGAAGTGTGTGTGTGTGTGTGTGTGTGTGTGTGTGTGTGTGTGTGTGTGTGCGCGCGCGCGCGCTCAGTCTGATTCTCCTCACAGCGCCCTGCGGTCACAGGATCATCCCTGCACGTGTAGTGGGTGGAGATGATTCGGAGCTTGGCCGATGGCCGTGGCAAGGGAGCCTGCGTGTATGGGGCACTCACTTATGTGGAGCGACCTTGCTCAACCGCCGCTGGGTGCTTACAGCTGCCCATTGCTTCCAAAAGTGAGTGTGGGGTCAACTGCAACAGTTGAGAGGTAGGGAGGTCTGTCACCTTGGTTTGGTGCCTGCGTAAGTAAACATTTTAGTGTAGCCTCAGGAGTAGTTGTGATGGATTAAATTCATAAGATTTTCAACATTAATGCCCCTGGAGGGAACCCTCTCTCAGTTCTTCTAGAATGTTCTTTCAGGACATTCTCATGTTCCTTTGAGTGTATTTGACTGCTCTTTTGCCTTCCCTTCATTCTTCAAGTTTTTCCCAAATATACCCACACTGGCTCCCACATTTGCTCAGCTCTTTTGGGGGCTGCACAAGCATTCCCATAGGTTCAACTTCTGTCTTTAGGACAGCTCTAACAGATGACAAGACCACTTTCCTGCTCCTCCACTCACAGTGCCCAGTCCGTCTGGGTTCTGTGGTCCCTATAGAAGGCTTTTTAGCCCATAAGAAGGACTCGATAATTATGCTAAGGATGAGCAAGTGTTAGCAGTCCTACAGTGTCACCACAGAGAGAGGTCCAGGGGAGCTCAGATGGCCTGACTGCTCTCTCCTTCTCTGGCAGGGACAGCGATCCCTATGATTGGTCAGTCCAGTTTGGTGAGCTGACTGCCCAGCCTTCTCTATGGAACCTACAGGCCTATTCCAACCGTTACCAAATAGAAGATATCTTTATGAGCCCCAAGTACAAGGCATCATATCCCCATGACATCGCCCTGCTGAAGCTGTCATCTCCTGTCAACTACAATAACTATATCCAACCCATATGCCTCATGAACTCCACATCCAAGTTTGAGAACCGAACTGACTGCTGGGTGACCGGCTGGGGGGATATTGGAGAGGATCAAAGTGAGGCTGGGTACAGATTGGCTTGGGAGGGGGCCTTACACTGTCTTCCATACCAGTCCCAGCTGTCCTTCCCTGGACTCTGCATCTCCAGTGAGCCCCTCTCCTCCACCACTCAACATTTTCTCAACTATTTTTCTTACTTCTGCTTGCAAGAAGGACAAGAGGCAGTCCCTTCCTTCCAGACAGGGCACAGGCTAGAACTCAGAGGTGCCAGGAGGTCAGCAGGGGTGGGGAATCCCATAGGGACTACAGGATGGCTCCCACATCATCGTATTTATGGTATTTCCACTTCTGCAGCCACCCCATCAGTGAGCGTCAGTAAACATGCTCCTCTGTGCCTGTTCCACCCACCCCAATTCTTACTGTGTTGTGCACTCTCCTCACAGTTCCCAAGCCATTTTCCTCCACTCTTGACTCATCACTGAAATCCTTTTGGAGGTCCTTATGGGCCATAATCAGACACCTGCCTGCAGTTCAGCAGGAACCCAGCCCCCCAGAAATCCAGATCATAGTTTCCTCCTAACTGCCCTGGTGCCTACAGCCCCATAGCCTGGGCATGCCCTTTGTGCAGGAGTGACCCTGCTCAATGCTCCCTGAGCTGGCCCATTTCTGCAATATCCCCTAATAAGAGTAGTAGTAGTAATAGATTCAGTTCCTTTCCTGCATATCATGTGCTTGGCACTGTTGCAGGCTTGGGGACCCTGGCACATGAAGGTGACAGTGTAATTAAAAATATTCATTGTATTATTTTTTATGTGTACAGGTATTTTGCCTACATGTGTATGTCTCAGATCCCCTGCAGCTGGAGTTATAGACAACTATGAGCTGCCATATAGGTGCTGAGAATTGAACCTGGGTCTTTTGGAACCAGCTCCCTGTTCCAGCAGTGTGATTTTTAAAAAGGGATTTTAAATATTTTATTTAATTCATATTCAGATGTGAGTGCATCTGAGCGTATGTGCACGTGTGTGGAGATGCCCACAGAGGATAGACAAGGGTGTAGGATCCCCAGGACTGGAGTTACAGGTGTTTCTGAGCCTCTCAGGGGTGATGGGGTCCCCACTTCAGTCCTCATAATTGAGAAAGTGCTCTCAACCACTGAGCTATCTTTAGACCACTTCAGACCCCTTTAAAGGGATTACATCTATTTATTTTGTTTTTAAAAACATTTATTTAAAAAAAGGGCACATGCCTTTAACCCCAGCCTTCAGGAGGCAGAGTCAGGTGGGTCTCTGTAAGTTTGAAGTCAGCCTGCTCTACAAAGTGAGTTCCAGGACAGCCAGGGTTACATAGAAAAATCTTGTCTTGAAAAACAAAATAAAACATTTATTTTATGTGTTGGTTGTGTGCTTGAGTGTACCTCATACACACAATACCCACAGAGGCCAGAAGGGGTTCTCAGCTCCCTAGGAACTGGGGTTACAGGTGGTTGTGAGCTGCTGGTGGGTGCTGGGAACTGAACCCAAGTCCTCTGCAAGTGCTCTTAACAGCCGAGTCTTCTCTCCAGCCCTAGTTATTTTGTATGTGATGCTGGGAGTGTAAGTTCACACAATGGCTTATGTGTGAAAGTCAGAGGACAACTTTTGAGGGAAGGTCTTTTTTTTTTCTTTCCAATGTGGATCTTGGGGATCAAAATCAGACTTGATGGCAAGGACTTTACCCACTGAATGTCTCACCTGTGCAACAGTGTGTTTTTATGTCCACTTTATAGCTGAGGTAATTGGGAGTATTATGGAGAGTGTCCAAGGTCCCAGAACTAGTAAAAGGAAGTGAGGCCAGGGTTCCATGGCTCAGACAGTGTAAGGGATGTCCCCAAGGCCATAGAGCTAGAATTGGCAGGGAGAATAGAGAACTCAGTTCTCAGTCTGCATGTTAGATAAGAGTCCATTTTCTTCTCCTAAAGGGGTGTTTGTGAGCCCACTTTGCTGCCCTGTCCCCTATGCCGAACAGATGGCTATGGTGGTGGGCGGCAGGGGGTGTGTATTTGTCTCCTTGAGCCTTGGCTTCACTCTTATACTTAGTGCACATGAGGCAGGTAGCAAACACTTCTGCTGTGAATATAGCTCTGTTCACCCTGGAACCGGGGGAACTGTTTCTTTGCTAAGTGCTAGCTGGGACACTTTGAACAAGACACTTGGCTGAAACTCAGTTTCCCCTTTGGTTGAATAGAATAACGAAAGCCATGGCTTCCTAGAGACGCCTGAGATCTGAGCTCTTAGAGAGCTCTCAGCAGACAGGAGGCACCCACTGTGGCTCTTGTCATCTTTGTCATCCTTGCAGTCAGACAGTGCTTGGCACCTAGACTCCGAGATCCAACAGATGCGAGTCCTCATCAGTCTCTTACAGTTCCCTAGTGCATTCTGGTAATGAGGTTCTTCCCCAGAACCTCTTTTAATTAATGCATCCCGATTCTGTTAATATTCAGGAGGTGTTTGGGTGTTCTTGGTTCAGGCCTAAGGAAATGGTATCATAAAGCTGCTACCCCTGGTCCAGTACCCGGACTTCTCACAGGACTTGGCCTGCTGCACCCACTCCAGTCCTTCCCCATCGCAGCTCCTTCCCCTATACAGATTTTGGTGATATGCTCAGGCAGGGACTTGATGTGCATTCTACATCCAGGCTCAGGGGATGCCATTAACCATGATTCCATCTATTGAGTCCTGTGATATTGTTGATCACCCATGATGTTAGTGTGAGGCTGCAACTAGGGACCATTGACAGGGCTGCCTCAGGCAGCACCCTGTGCCATTCCTTCCAGGAGAAGAGCTCTATCTCTCTGTCTTCCATCCCCCGTACAGGTCTGCCGTCTCCCTACATTCTCCAGGAAGTGCAAGTAGCGGTGATCAACAGCAGCATGTGTAACCATATGTTCTCAAAAAGCTCAGACTTCCGAGTGACCATATGGGGAGACATGGTTTGTGCCGGCAATCCTGCCGGCGGCAAGGACTCCTGCTTTGTAAGTGTCACCCCACGCCACCGTGGTCTTCTGGGCCCAGTACCCTACCATTCCTAGCTCCAACTTCCATTCAACTGAGGTTTCACATGGTACCTCATTCAATCTTAGGCCAATCCTGGGAAATAGACTGTGGTCCACTTTGCAGAGGAAGAAGTTGAGGCTCTACTGCTGTCAGGGCAAGGAGTCGGAAGCTTACCCAGGCTGCCAGCTCCACAGCAACCCTTCTCCTCTGACCTCCCTCCCAGTCCCACTTGTCACCCTCCAGGCCAGGTTTACCTATGCTGCCCCTCAGGGTGACTCAGGAGGACCCTTGGTCTGCGACCAGGATACGGTGTGGTATCAGGTTGGAGTCGTGAGCTGGGGAATAGGCTGTGGTCGGCCCAATCGGCCTGGAGTCTATACCAACATCAGTCATCACTATGATTGGATCCGGTCAACTATGATTCGAAATGGGATGCTCAGGCCTGATCCGGCCCCACCGCTGCTGTTTCTTACTCTGGCCTGGCCTTCCTTGATGCTGAGGCCTGCCTGAGCCCACCTGAGAATATAAGGTCATCTGTGGGGGCTAGAGGGTGTTTCTTTTGTATTTTGTTTGCTAATAAACATGCTAATACTTTCCTGGAACTTGGATGACTTCCTGTACAGGCACCTCCTTTCTCTCAGTCCAAGACCTGTATCTAACCCCTGAAATCTTAGCCCATCCTCATCAATCAAGTTTTGGTTGTAAACAGTAGCATCCATTTAGTGTAATTACAAAAACCACAATTTGTGGCTGGGTGTGGTGGCATCCACCTGTAACTCCAGAACATGAGGGGTGGGGTGGGTGGTGGCAGAGGCAGGAGGATCTTGAATCTTCCGCAAAGACCAGCACTCAGGAGAGTGAGTCTAGCATGGTTGAGGTCCCTAACAGCACACCCAGTACACCCATTGGGAGCTCTGCTTCTTCCTGAGCCTTCCAGTTTTCTTTTTGAGACATGCTCTGGGGTTCTCTGGTCCCCTCTCCTTCCTGACCCAGGAATCACAGCATCCGCAGCCCTCATCTTTTGTTGATGCAGGACCAGAGCACAGTGTGCCTGGCACAGCACCAACCACAGGACGCACCCCCAGGCTCCTCAGGAGCTGTTCTGATTATAACCCCACAGCACTGGAACTGAGACTCTGGATGTGATCTAGTCCCGCAGGGGAACAGAAGGGGAATCCCACCTTCTGCTCTGCATTGCAGTGTCCAAGGCCCCCCAGCAGATGGAAGGAAGGGGACAAGAAAGACATAAACTGTAGTCTTCAGGAATTTTAGGAGGTGTTCTGGCTAGGCAAACCCCACTCTGCCCCATCAACTATTCATGTTTCCACCAGGGCCTGATGAGGAATAGCCTAAGTCTCTGCTGTGTGACCAGATAGAGTAGGTACCTGCGTGTCCCTCCATGTCCACAAGGGGGTAGTCATGGGCCTGGTTCTTTGGCTCAGAGGCAGAAGGAGGGAGGGCTTGCCAACACCGAGCTGGTGCAGGAGGGGTGCAGGACCCTCTAACTCCTGTTGTGTTTCTGCTACCTCCTAGAATTCTGTCTAACTTTGACTTAGTATCTGGACTAAGAGCTTCCAAGGAAGCCTATTCCTGAGGGCATTTTGCCTTTACTTGTTTACATCCTGTAGTTAATTTCTGGAAAAGTTGGTGAGGGGACAGGGGCTATCTAAGTGGAAAAGAGGCAGATGGTGACTCAAGGGAATGTGTCAAAGACAAAAGGCTACCAAGTGACACCTATGTGTGTGGCCAGAGGCCAATGACATATGTTGAAACACTGGGAAGGGCAGCCACCAAGAAGTAGCTTTTCTAACTAGAGGAGTCCGTGGAAAGCAGAGAGCCAGAGCTGAGGGCTGGGGTTGAAAGCATGGGTGCCACAATGGAGAAAATGGTGGCCTGGACAAGGGGGATGCCTGAGGGAGCCTCAGCGGATACAAGTGTCGGTGATGAGTTGGGGGTGGGCTAATTAGATATATCAACTAGAACAGGACTTTGTAACTTTCTCCACTTTGACTCTTTTTCACTGGAGAGGGTTTTTTTTTTTAAGAAGAGATCTATTTATTCTTTTAATTAATTATGTGTATGCACGTGTTTCTGTGTGGGTCTATGTACATAGGAGGACACTTGCATGCAGAGGCTAGAAGAGAGTGTTGGATCTCCAGGGTCCTGAGTTACAGGCAGTTGAAGGTACTACAGTTTGATTTTAAGTGCTGGGAACTGAACTTTGTTGGGTGGAAGAGCAATGGTGCTCTTAACCACTGAGCCATCTCTCTAGCCCCTCATTGGGGAAATTTTTATGGGACCCAGTATATGAGTATATAAAATAGGTGTACAAATTTACTGATAATAGACCTCAAAGAACTTTCTTTTAAAACAATTCTTTGATGGCATTGATCTCATTATAGGAGAAGGACATTTAAGGTAGCCTCTCCATTATTGCTTAGATTCTTAGTTGGGGGTCATCCTTGTGGATCTCTGGGAATTTCTCTAGTGCCAGGTTTCTCATTAACCCCACAATGGCTCCCTCTATCAAGGTATCTCTTTCCTTGCTTTTCTTCTCTGTCCTTCCCCCAACTTGATCGACCTTCCTGACCCCTCATGTTCTCCTCCTATGGGGTCACTGGAGTGGAACCAGTATTTATCCCTAGTGCATGAACTGGCTTTTTATAGGCCATTCCCTATGGAGAAATATCTTGCTCAGCCTAGATACAAGGAGGAGGGCCTCAGTCCTGCCCAAATGATGTGACACACTTTGATGATTCCTCCATGGGAGGCCTCACCCTCTCAGAGGAGTGGATCAGGGGTGGGATGGGGAGATGGTGAGGGGGGTGAGAGGATGGGAGGGAGAGGGAATTGGGATTGGTATGTAAAAGAAGATTGTTTTTAATTTAAATCAATAAAAACGATTTTTTGGCATATGCAATGTCTAAAAAAATGTATTCGTATGTATATATGTATGTGTTTGTGTGCAAGTTCCTGGGGGAGGTCAGGAGGGGCCGTGAGATCCTCCACAGCTGCAGGAGGGGGTGTGAGATCCTCCATAGCTGCAGGAGGGGGTGTGAGATCCTCCACAGCTGCAGGAGGGGGTGTGAGATCCTCCACAGCTGGAGTCATAGGATATTGGGAGCCACTGAGGTGGGTGCTGGGAATCAAACTCGAGCCTCTGGAGGAGCAGTAAGAATTCTTAACCACTGAGTAGTCTCTCCACCCCCTTAACCATTTTTCCTGAATGCAAATCTATGTGGTAATGAGATGCTTATTTGTCTACAATCCAAAGAAATTACAATTTGATATTTAACATGCTGAAGAGTGACATGGGAAAAAATTAAGTTTTTGTTTCCTGTAATTAAGCTATTAAGTTTCCATAAGAGCAGAAAACTTTGTATGAATAGCAAAAACCAAAGCAAAACATTGCAATTAATAGCATACAATACTCTTGAATCTGAGCCAGGCACTTCAGGCAGCATTGGCCTTGGGTGACACAGTGGCATATTCGGGGCACAATGTTCATTGTGTGTTTGGAACCAACGCTGCCATGAGGTCCCAGGACACAAGATGGATTAAGTCCCACCAGAAACACCTCAGATTCTTTATGAATTTGACTTTTTTAGTCATCACACCTTCAGAAATTGTTTACTGTTTCTATCCCCAATTCTTACATCCAGTTACGTAACAGTTCAACAAGCTTTGAACTAGATGTTTGAATGCATCCTTCTGCTTCCCAGTGGCCTGTGAGCGATCCCGGGCAGTTCAGGACACCAGAAAAAGGGTGGGCCTAGGGACTTTTCCTGAGGATTAGAGACCCAGTGGGTTGTACAGCTGGGTTGGGTGAAAACTGCCTAGAAGGAAAATGTCAGACCCCAAAAGCACGTTCACAGCCCAGCACCTTCTCTCTCCTCGCTCCTGGGGCAGTGTCCTTGTAACTCCTTTTGTCTTATCCTCAGCTGGGCTTCAACACCAAGTACCCAGAGAGCAGGGGCACACCCTCCCACACTCAAGAGTGGAGGTGGGCCTATCCTGTCTCTCATAATCCAGCTCTGATCCAAATGTGCTCTTCCATTTGGTATTTTGAAGTAGACAGAGGAAAACTTGCAGGAGTCAGTTCTTTCCTTCCACCATGTGTGTCCCAGGGATCAAATTCAGGTTGGCAGGTTGGTGGCAAGCACCACTACCCACTGAGCCATCTCACTAACCCACAGATGGAGTTTAATTACGCTAATGATGAGGCGATACTTGGATTGGCACCTTGGTTTTCTATTAAAGTGCCAAGTTGTCTGGGTTAGAGTGTAGCAAAAATGTGCTGCACAGAGAGGCACCCGGCAGGGATCTTGGTGAAGGTTGCTGGGTATTTCAGTCAGTAGAGATGAGCCATCCCCTAGGCCTGGTTGCTTCTCAGGGTCTTTCCCTGGCAGCGTAGACTCAGGTCCACGCACAAGGATAGCCTCTGTTCCATCCTGTTCACATATGCCACTTGGCTTCTGATCCTTCTTCCGCTCCCATCAGTCTCCTCTGGTTCCTGTGGTCCCAGGGATCGGCTGGGGATAATGTGGAAGAGCCAGCTTCCTCCTTGGCCCCAGAAATCACACTCTGGCCAGAATGTCCCAAGAACAGAGCCAGGGACCCGGGATCTAGCCTCCAAGTTTCTGGTAGATGACCAGCGTGGAGCTGTGAATGTGGCTTTGAGTGGAGACCATTCATTCAGACTGCCCAGAGGGGTCTTCCCAAGCCCGATATCGGGAGAGTTGGGAGACCAGAGCCAGGCGTTATAACCACCTCTTGCCACACAAGGACTCGGCAGCCCAGGACCCACCTCTGTTGGAGGAGAAGGCCTCATTGTTCCAGTCCCTGGCACAATGCAGACTGGGCTGTGCCCAGGGCAGTTGATAAATACCCAGTAAATCCCCCTTTGGGGGGGTCCTGATCCTGAGGGACAAAAGGCCTGTGTTGAACATTCCTTAGTGTAGGCTCAGGGCCAGCTCTGTAGCTGAGGGGTACAAAGAAAGACTCTTTTGGGACTGGACCCCATACCAGTGTATGTGAGGACTGTACCTGTTCGATGTGGGTATAGCTGGGTGAGTGTATATTTTCATATGTGTGTGAAAGTGTGACAGCTATTACCACATACCAACAATATGAAAATGTTCCTTACTTGTGCAACTGGGCAAGTCCCACAATTCCCTCTGGCCAGGCTAGCCACTGTCTGTTCCTCTCACCCCACCCTCCATTCAAGGGGTACTTCCTTGAATCTCAGCTAGACAGACCCTCCTTTTGGCACTTGAAGTGACAGCAAACCCACAAAAGTGCCCTTGGGCCGGGTTGGGACAGAACACAAGCCCCCTTTGTGTTCCCTTTCAGGCCCCTGGTTCCAAGAGCTTGTCTGCTAAGAGCTTAGGCCCTTTCGCCTCCACCTCCCCAAAGATCATCCTGGGCCACCAGGAGGGGATCTGCTGCCCTGTCCCCTGCCAAGACTCTACTGTGTCTGCAGAGTAGAGGTGTAAAGAGGGCTGGGGAGA